GGCTGGTGCAACAAGACTCCTGGTCCCTTTCATACGACGGGAAGCGATACGAGCAGTGGTAAATGCTTTTTGTGATTACAACGCTGGTACAAAGCAGCACAGGCATCTTGAAAAGTGAATTCTATGAGGCAATCTCTTATATTTATGGTGAGGGAATACAATCAGTCTTCTCTCTATCTTGGCGCTTTAATTGCTAGATCGTGTTCTTCTTTGCGATTGTCGCGAGTCGCAAGCCAGTCTTAGAGCAATTAAATCGCTATGACATCACTGTGTCACTGCGCGAGGGGCGGCATTACCACCCCGATGCATGCAGTTTTGTCCTTTCTAGAGATTAACATGATTACTAGTCTATAGTTCAACAGTTTTTACGACAAAAACTGTGACTTTTTGGTTACATGGAAATGATTGTTTCAGATTGACAACATTACATATGTGTCATTCGTAGAGCATAAGATCAAACGGATCAAAAGATAACTTTCCTCTCTCCATCTGACTTCAAAATGTATAATTTTCCCGGTCCCATGGAGGCTCCGGAAGCGGAGGGACTCTCGCTTCTCGTAATTGTTTGTTTAAATCACGGCAGCCTGTTCTTCTTCTCTGGGTCTTCGGTTGTTGCCTCTTTTTGAATAATGAAATACACACTATCCGCCCCTGCTGGTAAGGAGAGTTATTGCCAACTCACGCACTGAAGTCCTTTTGCGGTGTGTTCCCCGTGCGACACCAACGGCACAAGCACGCAGGAGAACCACGGACGCAACAGCCGGCGTCGTGAGTCCTCTGGTGACGTGCTTGGTGTGTCAGGGCCTTATGGCAGTTACCACTACACGGCCCTCGCTCGTTATGAACTGGCCTCACTCGTTAGGACTGCTCGCTCGTTTATGGACTGGCTCACTTTATGTCGCGTCTCCATTACAGTTTAAGGACTGGGTAGTATCTAGTAACGCAGTTTAAGGGCGAATCGTATCGGCTTTTTGCGGGCGGAGCGACGCTGCTTAAAACAGTCCGTGACAGTCCATCTTCAATGCGACACAACACCACAAAATGGAAGATGTGGGAAGCCATCGTTCGCTTGTTTCTGTGGCTGTGGGCCTTTTCTCCACTTCGGTTAAATGGATTCCTTGCGTCCCTCACTTGCGCCGTTTCCCTGTCACTAGTCCCTCCCACCAGGGAAGCATGGAGGGACGCAAGGAAACCACGAGAAGCAGGGAAATTAGTTTTAAGAGCAATGGGACGTCCTTTCCTCCGGAGCGTCACGTGAAGCGACGTCCGTTTGTGATGACGCTGCACAGCTGATCGTCTGACAGCAGCCAGCTCTTTCCCAGTTCTTATAAAATCATAATTATACATCATGGTATCTTAAAAGTTACATCCAAACAAAAGGAATGAGAGAATATTGAATCGGCAACACACAAATACATTTAAATAAACTAGACTTAGTTTTGTTCAAGTCCAACCTTATATCGTTACAGCACCTTTTCACAATTGTAGCCCAAAATGATCAATTACAGGAGTCCATTTATTTACAAACCCATCCGACTTCATCTGGAGTCTTGCTGTTATTTTTTCCATTGAGAACACCATCAGTAGCCACTGACGTAGGGTGGGTGGCAGTGGTTTAAGCCAAGATATCGTTATCATCTTTCTTGCAACCAAGAGAAGGATATGCAGTAAATAACCCTTTGTCTTATCCATAGCCCCTTCTGGGATTACTCCTAAAATGTAATATCGTGCGTCTAGTGGTAAATTAATATTCAAGATGGCCAATATTTCTGTACGAATCCCTTCCCAGAATGACTTCAGCTTCGGGCAGTCCCAAAAAATGTGAGTGTGATCTCCAATCTGTTTACAGTCCCTCCAACACAACTTTGTTAACGCTCCGTTATATTTTGAAACAATAAGAGGAGTCCTAAAATATCTCATTTTTATTTTCCAATTACCGTAATTTTCGGACTATAAGCCGCGCCTTTTTCCCTATTTGTCGACGCTGCGGCTTATATAACGGTGCGGCTAATCTATGGATTTTTACAGCTAACGGCCAACACCTTTAACTCTATGGGCTCTATGGCCGGTCCGCGGACCCCCACCTTTAAGCGGCGGGTTCCAGCAGGAAAAGCTGGAGGCCGGAAAAGAGTGAGACAGGTAGCGCGCAAAAGTAAAAGTGGAACCGAGAGTGGTATGCCGCTGCTGCGGCTTATATTCAGGTGCGGCTTATAGTCCGAAAATTACGGTAAATTATTTCCATGAAGGGCTATTTGTTATTTTATGTCCCCTTTCACACCCATCTTCCCACGAGTCGTCATCAATAATAACATTCATCTCCATCTCCCATTTTTCCTTTATATCCAAAGTATTCCCTGACATGTGTCCTTGCAGACATTTGTATATTTGTGATGCCAGTTTTGTGACACTCTTTTCTTTCATAATCCTTATTAGTAACAATTCTACGGAAGTGGGTGTTCGCTTAAGTGTGTTCCATTCTCTATGTGACATTAAATAATTTCTCAATTGCAAGTATCTATAGAAATCATGAGAACCTAAGCCAAATTTATCTTGTAATTGTTTAAATGAACAAAAAATGTCACCCTCAAACATTTGGTCTATTATAATAAGTCCTTTCCGCGCCCAATTCCTAAATCCTGTATCCAGTTTACTTGGCCTATAGTCCCCATTCTTTGCAATCTCCATCACCCTTGAAATTGTTAGCGGTGCTTCCACTTTTTTTCTCACTATTGACCACACTTTTTGGGTGCACTTCATCCATTCATTCTCTACCCCAAGCTTCCTCCAGCTCTTTTGTCCCAGAAATGGCAGCATCTCAAGAGGCATTAATGGGCATGATTCCTTCTCTAATTCCAACCAAGTCGTCTCCCCATTTTGTGTAAGCCATTCAACCATACCACACAATTGTGCTGCCCAGTAGTGCAACTTCAAATTGGGAAGATTGAGGCCTCCTTCATTCTTTGAATATGTTAACAGCTTCAATTTAATCCTAGGCTTCTTCTTTTGCCATATAAATGTGGAAATCAACTTGTCTATCATTTTAAAGACAGAGACTGGAACATAGAGGGGGAGAGACTGAAACAGATATAATAATCTGGGAAGTATATTCATTCTTACAATGTCAATTCTACCAAATAATGAATGTGGGAGAATCTCCCATCTAGCCATATATAATTTTATTTCCGTTATTAATCTTCCATAATTTGCCTTGTATAACTGTGAAGTTTTTGGAGTGATAATGATTCCCAGATACCTGAAGACCTTGTGCTGACCATTTAAATGAAACCTCCTTGTCTAATTGAGATGGCCAATCACCCACTAACATCATAGCTTCCGATTTGGATTCATTAACTTTATACCCTGACAACTTCACCAAACTATCCAGGCAACTCCATCGGGTGGAATTGAGGTTAGAGGATCACTAATATATAATATCACATCGTACGGTACACGATAGTTTGTGTGGTTCCTCCCACCCCTCTGATACTTCCATGGATTCTAGGGTTCTCCCTTATCTTTTCTGCCAGTGGCTTATCCTTAATCGCAAATGCAGTGGGAGAGAGGCGATTCCCTGGTCTGGTCCTCTGTATAATTTAATTGTAGATGCTGTTAGACCATTAACTACCTTGACACCGGATCGGAGATTCAGAGTGAGGCGTCCAACAACATCATCTCTGACCCAAACC